TATACTAGACAAATATATATACATATTAAATAAATTTAAAAAGTAGGCTGCTCTTTCATTTTATAATGATTGGGTTATATTCAATTTTATTTATATAAATTAATAAATTAAAAATTTCCAAGAGAAATAATTAAAATAATAAAATTAATTAAATTTTGTAATTATAAAACAAGTTTAGTAACAAAATATTAGATAATAAAATTTTTTAAATTTTAATTATATTCACTAACAAAATTTCATTAAATTTTATTATAATTTCTAGTAGACGAAATCCTTATATAAAATACTTTTTATTAGATAATAATATTATACTTGTGTAGATGGCACCAATACATTTCGAACTTTGTCCCGCATATTTTGTTATCTCTGATGATAACTCAATTCTCATATAAAATAAACTTAAAAGGTAAGAGTTAGCATTTATTTCTCAAGTTAACGATATGCGTCACACACATCATTAAATTCTTCAGATGAAATGCATTTACATCATGAACTGATAACATAATCGGATTTTCACAATAACAAACAAAACGCGGCACGCCTTAGTCATGAAAAATGATATATTTAATAAAAACTTGTTGCATATTAATAGTAAGAGATTCTCTTGTTGTTATAATAATGCTTAATATGCAATAAATTTTTCTTTCAAAATAAATTAGCTACCTACTAAAAAATACTAACGTTACATTAATATTATAATTTTCTATTCAATATAAATGTAATATTGTACACAACAATTACATTGTTGAGTCGGAAATTATAACATTCGTGTAATATTACTATGTACTTTCAGCGTACCACGGGTATTCATATTTCCTTTCAAAATAAAACAAGTGAAATATAAGGAATATAAAATAGAAATACAAAGTAAATATTGCAAAGAAAAACTGCATTATAACTATATTTTTAATGTGAAATAGAAATAACAATGAATAGCGCAATGTGTGTCATCGTTATTATTTCGCTATAATTATGAAGTTTATTTAAATGAAGTTTATTTAAACAGCATGCATATATTGGGTGGTCCGGAAAGTCCGTGCGGATATTACAATGAAAAATTGTATATACGATACCTTCGTCAAAAATGAACGAAATTTAAATTTAAAAAAAGGGTTTTAAAGCTTGAAATCTCTACATTTAAAAGCTTATCACATTTTTTAAGTTTATATGAGTTTGATAATTTTTACATACCAAAAACTACGAGCTGAAAAAGATAAAAAATTTTCTTTTCACTTTGGGGGTCTCTCACGTGCCCAAAAAAAATTTACGAAAATTTTCGACTACCCATCGTGAAAACTTAAAGCTTTCCCTACAAAATCATTTTTTAAAAATGTTCCTATAATTTTTTGTTTCTGAGTTATTCGCGAGTTAAGTAAAGAAGCATTCTGATTTCGATTGCTCATAACTCCGATAAAAATCATCATATCGCAATTTAAAAAACAGATTCTTAAAGCTGAAACTTTGCTCTAGCGAATGATATAATCGTAACGAAAATTTCGCAACAAATAAAAAAACTTTTGAAAAATCAATGAAAAAATCCGCACGGACTTTCCGGACCACCCAATAAAAAGCGTTTATAATAAATACGATAATAAATGCGTTTACCACGCATAATAAATATCTTTTAACATCAAAGAAAAGCATATAAAAAATTTTAAATATTATACACGCAAATCTATTATACTGTTGAAACCTGAACTGACTGAAATTAGATCTACTTGGCTTTCTTAAACACATATACATTACACCTTCCTGCGCGCTATCTGCGACGGATGCTTCTAGGAAGACAAACAAAGAAAAAATAAATTTTAGAAAGTGTCACTAATGTCCATTTTTATCAATGAAGATAAATTTTAATCTGAGTTTGTCTTACTTTTTATCTTTTTCTAGTTTTAAAAACAAGATAAAGAGTAAGTTAAACCGCGATTAAAATTAATCTACATTAGTATAAATAAACATAAAAATAATATTTTCTTCCTTTGTTACAATAGATTCTTATCCTTTTCCGGCATTTCTTAAAACAAACGGAGCATTCCTTTTAAAACATGCCTCCCTTTTAATATCTTGGATCGAACTCTCTTTTATAATTTTTAATACTTCATATACTATTTTTAATAATATGTATCCATATGGCATAATAAATCTTTAAAGATTCAGCACTTTTTTAGCAATACCTATTATCATCTTTACAATTAACAATATTTATGTCAATTAATTTAACTTTGCATGTTATACTTGTTATAATTATAGTTTCAGCTTTCTATCAAAAGGAATTAATTAAAAAGTAATCGAATTTAGCCTCACAAGTGTAAATAAAAGGAATAGTGGTTTTTTAATGATTTTTTTATCTCCTGGGTATGATATGTTATTAAAAAGTGGCATTTGGGGAATATCTCGAAAATTGAGCCAAATTTTAAAATTGTATATCATATTCGTGCTCAATTTTTGGGATATTTTCCAAACGCCACAAATTTTTAAATTCGATCAAAATCTACAAAAAATACTGTTCTTTTCAAAGTTGGTAACGTTACCTCATAAAAATAACTCGTTACCGTTCTTTTTCCAAAAAGTAACTCGTTATCATTACTCATTATTGATTTGTGAAAAGAATTCGTTTATATCGTTACTCAACATACAACGAGTCACTATTTTTTCATTACTTTTTTTTACACTAATAAATTATAGCGTTTTTTATTGGCACCTCAGAGCATATTAAAATCGTTATACACTACTCTAATCTGAATGTAAAAATGAGATATATCTCAATAATATCTCTATAATATCTCAATTGATAAAATGTGCAAAGTATATTTTATCAAATAACATAATAAAAGGTATTGAGAATTTTGCGGTTTTTTTTTAACTCGTTCCTATATTTTTCTTGAACATACATATTTACGTCGATTTGTGTGCAACGCTTGAAAGTGCACTAAGGTCGTACTAGTTCTGTCACTGAAAAACGCTAGATATGCAGATTTTTGCAGTAAACATTCTGAAGAGAAGTTAGAATTTCATCTTTTAGTAGAGAAATAAAACTCAAAAGCTGATAAATATAC